CGTGTGTGTGTGTGTGTGTGTGTGTGCGCGCGCGCGCGCGTGTGTGTGTGTGTGTGTGTGTGTGTGTGTGTGTGTGCACTTGCCATGTATACTGCTATTCTAGCTTTCTATAGTTTTGTGAATGGCTCCATTCAGTCAGTAATCAAATTCAAATAGGCAAGATTAGGATTTAAGAGTTGAACAAACAACATAAATATAATTGGTTCAATGATTAAATTGTATTAAGGAAAATTAGATGGCAAACCATTGAGCAAACTCAAAATTCTTAATGTATAAGGTTGCTTAGTTTTTTTAGTAAGATTAATTACTTTTTTTTTACAGTGCAGGATAGCCTGGATTTTTTTTCTATTGGGCAAGGAGAATTACACACCTTTTGATTTACTTTCACACTACATTTTTGAAAGCAGACCAAATGCAGTTACAAAGGTTGACTATTTGGAATGATGTTGCCTGGAACTAACACTGAACACGAAGAAAACAAAAACAAAGGAAGAAAAAAACAACTCAGTTATTGGCCAGGAACTGCAGAAACTCAACTTTTTTTAGAGAAGCTGCCCAGAATGAGCAGCAGACGAGGTAACAATCTATTCCCTTCCTCTTTTTGTTTTGCTGGGTAGTTTGCTTACATTTTACATCAATAAGCAAACCCTTCCAGGGTTTACATGCAAGCAACATTTTCAATGACCCATGTTTTAATCTGAACAAAACATTACTTGTTCTGGTCTGCATCAGAGTTCTTTTAAATCTAAATAACCTATGGCCCATTTAAAGTGGATCTAATAGCTCTGATGTGAAAGTGTCAATAATCATTACTAAAGTAATTTAAACATGCAACTCTTCAGGAATCTGAATAGCACACTGATCTAAACAAGAGGTCTCCAACCCTGATTCTTTTGACCTAGTGTTCTGCATTATAGAGGTTTCCCTGCTTCAACACATCTTACTAAAATAAATGAGTCATTGATAGGCATCTTCTGAACTTGATGACAAGTAGGCAATTTCAGTTATTTGAATAAGGTGTGTTGAAACAGGGCAACAGCTAAAACATGCAGGACAATGGTCCACAAAGACCAGGATTGGGAACTTCTGATCTAAAAGAACTGACTGGATATAACCATAAATACTATGGAAAATAAACACCTTATCTCAAAAGGGTAACACCAGTTTGACTAGCATCAAAACACCAGAACTCATGTAACAGCATTAGTTATGCATTTCGAGTAATTGCTTTGTCTTTCTTTCATTTCAAATTCAATTCAAAATACTTTATTGATCCCAGAGGGAAATTAGATGTTGTAACTCATTTAACTAAAGAATATTGTAGATGCTGATGGCTGTGGGCAGGAAAGATCTTCTGTAGCGTCTGTATTACAGCAAAGTTGAAGAAGCCTCCGACTGAAGACACTTTGTCTTTCTATGACAGTCTGATGAAGAGGATGGTCAGGGTTGTCCACAATATTCTTGATTTTATGTAAAATCCTTCTTTGCACCATCATCTCCAGAGATTCCACAGTCRTCCCCAGAACAGAACCAGCCTTCTTTATCAGGTTGTTTAGCCTTTTTATGTCCCTGGCTCTGATGGTACTACCCTAACAGATGACAGCAGAAGAGTTGACGCTCTCAACAACAGACTTGTAGAAGATCTGCAGCATCTTGCTGCAGATGAATAATCTCAGCTTCCTTAAGAAGTACAGTCTGCTCTGTCCTTTCTTGTAGACTGCTTCACTGTTGAGTCTCCAGT